TGTTAAGAAGTAGAGGAAGGGAAACCTGTAAGGCAGTCTTAGTTCTCCTTGCTGACTTAAAAGTCTATTATCGTCTACATAATCATATTTTCATTTTAAAAGCAGGCTACCGTTAGGAGTAAATATGTTTCACAAGAAAAAGAGCCTAATTGGTTTAATTCAACCTAATTGGTTTAATGTTTTGACCTGGAAGTGATCTCAGAAGTCGTCCAACTCCCAAGCTCACAGACTTGGTGCTACAAAAGGATGTCCTGATGCTTTTTCCTTATTCCTTTGTCTCACTAATGGATGGAGGTATAGACATCAGAGGGAGAGGAAGGGAGTGGGAAAAGATTGATTGATTGGTTGATTGATTGATTGAGAGAGGCTGGAGAGGAGAGAGAGGTGGGGGAAAGATAGTTTTCATGATGGGGACCTTCCCTTCCTGCCTAAATCATACTACATACCCCTGAGCCCTTGTTAAGGGCAGCCTGGTGGCACAGAAACTGGGGATGTAACTAAAACGCTAAAAAATTATACACCAAATAAAGACTCAATAAAATAAAGGAAGAAAACTAACAAGGAGTCTGATTTTTCTGGAATGATTCACCTTGGCTGCTGTGACAGCTAATGAAAATTGAGAAATAATCCCTGTGAGAACTGTATTCAAATAAATGCCTTCAATTTTAATTTTGTTATTTGGAAAACAGCTTTTAAAAACAAGCCAGAGGGGTGTAGTTTAGTAGGAAATGAAAAACCATAATTTGCTCATAATTCCCCAAAGGGCAAGAACTTTCCCAGGTGACCAGTGAGGCACCCAGACTGTGCCCTATCTCTTGGAATAGGCTTCTGTCTTCTGAAAGGAAGACCTGTCCGGACTAGAGAGATATGGACCACCCCTAACCTTATTGGACCAATTGGTTGCTAGGCGCTGGTCAAAACCAGAGAAAGAAGTTTTTCCCAAGCTGCCCAGAAATGCAAAGTCCAGTTGTCTGAAGAGATCCTTGTATTATTCTACAACGAGACTCTAGCTAATTCTGACTTGGGTACATTCAGCAGTTAAACTTGAGACCTAGCTGCAAGAAAAAGACAAAGCAAAGTACTAAAAGTGCAGATAAAGTCTTTTCTGTCAAAGTCAGCTGGGTATCAAAAACTTGGAGTTTTGGAGTTTGTGAATAATTTAGAATTGTTCATGTGGTGATATAAGTTACACAAGGAAATTAAACAATGATGGAAATTTTCAGGTTCAGAAACACAAAATATGGAACCAAGTGACACCCTGCTCCCAAGGGGCAGAAGATGGGCTCTGAGGTCAGGAATTCAATTTTCATTTATTGATTCGGGCAAGTTGCTTAATTATAAGTCTCAGTTTCCTCATCTGTAAAGTGCAGATCATGATTCTAAGTATTCATAAGTTTATTACAAAGATTAAACAGAGTAATATTAATATGTATAAAATAACAGGATTAGAGTAAGTGCTTAATAAATGTTAACTGATGTTATTATTTTCCCTAAAGACCAGGGTTTATATTACTTTTACCCTTGCTCATATTTTTGCAAGAAACAGTTCAGCAATATCTCACCTTTTGATCTTTTCATTTTTCCCCCTTATGTATATATGTGGTTATAACCCTGAAGAAGACAGGGGTTTTTTGAGTTTTTTGTTGTTGTTTCATTTTTACCTGCCTCCAACACATCTCCCTGTCCCTCTTATCTCATAAAAGCAGCTAGATTTTCTTTTGAGAAACCACCTGTATTTCATTCTGAGTCCTCCTGTTTTCGGTAGTGCTGACCTGGCCTCCAGCTCCAGGACCCTTCCATCCCTCTAAATAGAGTGATTGACTTGGGAGTCGCCCAAGTTGAGCCAATGAGATGCAATCCTGGGGCTTCTGCTAGATCTCCCAGAAAAGCAAGAACTGCTAACCTCAGAGGGTCTAAGTCTGGAGGTACCAGAGGTCACCATGGGGAAATGAGTGCCCAAGAATGGAACCAACGTACAGGAACGCAGAACTGAGAGAGGGAGGTGGCTTCCACATTAGTGCCTTTGGGTACCTGAGTCCAGCTCTAACTAACCCTCCTCCCCCCCACACACTTAATCGCTTTATAAGCCAATAGACTTTTTCTTTTCTTTCTTTTTTTTGCTTAAGTCAGTTTGGATAGAGTTTCTGTCATCCCAATGAATGGAAGCGGTCCTGACAAATAAGCCAGTCCCAGAAAGAAATACGAAGTGGGTAGTGCCATCCAATTGCTCATTTCTACTCCCCCGCCACTTCCCCCTGTCCTCTTGTATTTAGTGCCTTTATGCTTTCTTCTTCCTGTTTATTTTCTCATGGGAAGTAATCTTATAATGTTTGTCCTTGATACTGCACAGTGAACTTATGTCACTGTATTATTTTTCCTAGAATATTGACATTTTAAGCCTTACATTTCGTCCTATGAGGAAAGGCTTTGTTCCAGCTAAAGGGATTTAGCTTTAAATAAATACCTGTGAAAAGATGAAGAGATTTAAAAAAATGTATCAACCAAATAACAAAGTTTAAATCTTGTTCTCATTCTAATTTAAACAACCAATGGTTTTTAAAAGAAACACTGTTATGACAAAATCAGGGAAATTGAACATTGACTGGGTATTTGTTATTCAGGAATAATTGTTAAAATATTAACCTGTAATAATACTAAAATGGTAATTTTAAAGAGCTTCTATGCCTAGGAGATAAGTATGGAAATATTTTTGGATGCAAAGATACAATGCTTTAGATTTCCTTCAAAATAGGCTAGGGGTGGGAGGAGAGGATGTACAGATGAAGCAAAATTTGCACTAGTTAATAATGGTTGAAATTGAGTGATGGGTTGGGTGTGGGAGGTTCCTTATTCTCTTCTTTCTACTTTATGTTCGATTTCCGTAGTAAAAGATTTTTTTTTTTAAGTAGTAAGTGGAAATGGTCAAGGCTGCTATTGCCTACCCAGAATCAACGCTCTCATTTCCCCCTTACAAACAGAACCCCCCTATTGTTGAGGAAGCAGTGTCCAGATTAATTTTTTAATGATTTTTTTAAACTCTTTTTTTAAAAAGAATTTTTAAAAATTTATTTTTAGAGAGAGGGAGGGACAGAGAAACATCTATGTGATGGGTTGCCCCCCCCCCCCCCCTGCACTCCCCCAAGGGAGGACCCGGCCCGCAACCCAGGCATGGACTGTGACTGGGAATCTAAACTAAGATCCTTCAGTTCGCAGGCAGGTGCTCAATTCACTGTGTCACACCAGCCAGGGCAAAAAAAAAATTTTTTTTTTTCAGTCTTCTCGTAGGTGCGACCAGTGAGAAGCAGGTAGAAGCCATTGGGCGTGGCTTCCAGGAAAACTCGCTCAGCTGATGGATGAGCTTGTTACCCTTGCCTCTTCCCTTTTTCTGATGCCTGGGACAACAGACACCTGAGGAAGGAACAGAGTCATCTGCACCACAGGACACCTGAAAGCTAGAGCGCATTAACGCTTTGCACGGTGGCGCCAGAAGATGAGAGGAACCTGGATACTTCACGACTGTGGAGGTGCCACACCCGCTCGGGGATGCTTTCCCTTTTGTCAACAGGGAGAATTAAAGTTTATTTCTTATTCCTCACCCAAGGACATGCCTCTTGATTTTAGAGAGAGGAGAAGGGCGGGGGAGAGAAACGTCGACCTGCCGCCCCTCGCAGCGCCCCTACTGGGACGCAACCGGCAACCGAGGCATGTGCCCCGACGGGGAACCGGCGACCTTTCCACCTGCAGTTCTGCGCCAGACAATTGAGCCACAACCGGCCAAGGCTAAAAATTTTTTATTATAAATTTGCATTTGCCATTACAGAGGCGGTAAACTCCACAAAGACAGGTCTTTTAGCTCACAAACGTGGCTTTTTGGAATCATCTGGTATGTTTTAAAAAATATTAGGGCTTGGGCCCCACTTCCAGAGTCCCTGATTTCATTGACTTGGGGTATACGGCCTAGGCATTGGAACTTGTAAAAGCTGCCCCTGGTGACTCTCATTTGGAGAACTACCGTTTCAGCTCGCCATTTTATCCTCGGAGTTCTAGGCTCTCCGATGGGAGGGGACCAGGATTAGTTGACTGTGAGTACTAGTGACGGCATGGCGTAGGAGGAGCGACAGTCCGCGCAGCCTTTTGCGACGAAGCAAACCAAGTTCCGCCTTTTCCCCCGCCTCAACGTAGCCCGGGCCCAAAGCTGAGCTGTGGCCCACGGTGGAAACAGAAACGCTCGCCGGCGCAGAACTGGCGGTCCGCAGCGCCGACACGCGCCTGCGCGTTGCCAGGTCCCGGCGGGCAATTTGAATTTCTCGCGCGGTCCCTGGCTTCCGGCCGAGACCGAAGAGTAAAGGGCTTGGCCCCTTCGGCGCGGAATGGGTACTTTTCTCCTAGACCCCCGAGAAGTTGGGGATCTTGGCATCGAAAGCAGGCAAAAGGCATTGCTTGGGCGGGGTGCGGGATACGGGATCGCGCTGGGCGGGGACGGAGGAGCAGGGCTCGACGTGCTCCGCTCTCTGGGTTAGGTGGAGTGGGCGCTGGAGACGGGCTCACCTATCCTCGGAGTGCACCGTAACTGATTGCTTTCCTTCGCCTCCTTACCGCCCGCGATCAGTCCCCCACAGCGTGGGAGAAATACTTACCTGTACCCATTTCTTTGCATTTGCTGTTTTTCTTTTCTTAAATTCGAGTGTATTTGGCGTTTTTATATATAGTGTATTTGCGCCCCCTAAGTCCTTAAAGAGATGATGCAGGCTTATTCCCTGTATTATGGTTGGGGATGCTTTGACTACAGAAGGCTCTAATAAGACGTGCAACTACTGGATTTTGGTTAGAAACTGAATTTTGTACATTTGAAGTAAATCGCTCTTGACTTTTTGTACTTTATTTTCAGAGGAATGTGATCTACTGGATATTAACCATTCTTGGATTTTGGAAGTGAACAGAAATTTCCCTGGTTTTTGTTTTTGGAAACTTTATAATTTTTTTCTTCAGAGGCTTAAAAGATGGCCTCTTCAGATCTGGAACAAGCATGTGCTTATATTAATGAAAAGATTAGCAATATTAAAAAATGTCTGTCATTAAGGAACTGTGGTAAGTAGAATAGATTCCACTGACTTTGTACAAACACAATGCATTTTGATTATTGTTCCGCTTTGAATGATATCTTATGTCTAGTTAAGTGAAAGTATCTTGCAGAGGTAATTTTAAGTTTCAAATGGTGACTTAAAAGCACTCTGGCATCAATATTTTGAATATCTTAGAGGACACTGGATAGTAATTAGCTTTATTATGTTTTTCTGAGATAAACAAAGCACAATAGTAAGATTTGAAGGTTATGTGGCATTTGTGATTCTAGAGCTAAATGAAAATACTTAAAGGTAAGGGATAAAAGGAAAGTGGAGCCCTAGCTGGTGTGGCTCAGTGGATTGAGCGTCGGTCTGCAAACCAAAGGGTCCCAGGTTTGATTCCCAGTGTAGGGCACATACCTGGGTTGCAGGCCAGGTCCCCAGCACGGGGCGCGCGAGAGGCAACCACACACTTTCTCCCTTTCTCCTTTCCTTCTCCTCTGTCTAAAAATAAATAGGTAAAATCTTTCACAAAGAAAAAAGTGGAAAAGACCCAGGGCAACAGTAGCCCATAACTCATCTGATAGCCTGCTTTAGAGGACGCTTATCACTATATATCACCAGGAAACAACTAATTGAAAATTAAATCAATTTTTTTAAACATCCAGAAACTTGTAGGTTGTAACCATCTCCCAAAACATTTTGGTGGGCTGAAAGGTGATGACACAATGAAGGTGCAAAGAAATAGGTGATCCTTATCAAGTCTGGGAAAATGATGTTTACAAAAATGATGTGCTCCCAAGTCCACCTAGGAGAGCTAAAGAGTTATCGATAACCAGCATCCTATCTGCTGAGAAGACTGTTGAGCTTTACTGTAGTTTGTATTATGAATTGATAATTTTTAAAGAATTAAAAAATGAAATTATAATGTTGGAACGCCCTTTCGAATTATACATGTCTTCCTAGGCACATTGATATCTTCCATCTCTTGTTGAGAACCTCTAATAAGGGAGCCTCATCTATTTTATAGTTTGTGGTTAACATACTCTATAGAAAGTTGAAGCTGAAGAGACTGAGTTCATTTCCAGCTCCACATCTCATACATGAGGAACCGAGACTCAGAAGTCAGGTGACTTACCAGGTTCCCCAGCTCATGAATAACCATTGAGGACTATAGTTTTGGTGTCCTGATTCCCAGTCTAGTTTTCTTTTTACTTCTATGGCACTTTTAATGAGAAATCTTAAAAGGATATTTAGATTTTTAATAGTCTTGTTTAGAGTAATTCTAAACAGCGTTCTCTTTCAGAGGGCATGATTACTATTGGGTAAGCAGATATAATTTGGAGACCTATAAAACTGTCAAACTTTAAATTCAACTGACCCCACCCAAGCATGAGGTGTGGCCAAAGCAGTCTAACCTATTAGATTACACAGCACACTGGGTAACCATCATTTGTATGTGGGGAGAATAATTTGCTCGGTTCTAAAGCCTATTTAATAAAACCCAGTTATTTGTTTGCTACTTTGGCTGCTGTAATTTATTAGACCACTACAACCAAAAAGTACTGAATTTGCTCAGCTGTTAACATTACTGCAAATCAGTAAACGAGCCCCTAAAATTTAAGTGACTAAAAGTTATTTAAAATATGACTGTATCCAACTAGTTATTTAACCCCCTGAAATTAATCTCAGTAAAGACATCAATACTCTCATGTACTTACTAATTTGATTTTGTTGTTATGAACCTGCCGTCAAAAATAATTAGCACTGCTCTAGTATAGTGCTTCTCATGATGATGAGTAGTCGTCCGCTTTTGCTGAGAGCTTTACTAGGTTCCAGACACAACAGTAAGCCCATGTTATATGTACTTTTCCGCTTACTTTTGCAGGAATCTTGAAGTAGGTACTGATGTTTCTGACGTTAGGCTTGGAGCTTCTAACCATTTTATTCTACTGCCTCCATAATTTATAGATACAGAAATTGTGCTTTTACTTATGCATATTTGTTTGGTTGCTGGAAGTGAAGGTGGAAAGATTTGATTATGAAACTAGTTTTTCTTTTGTGCTTTAGATCTGCCCTTAAAAAGTTTTTTGTTTGTTTGTTTGTTTTTTTGTTACTTCTTTTATTTTTAGAGAGGAGGAAACTCCAGTTTTCCCATCCTCAAATCTGTGAAGCTAAAGAGGTGGGATGGGAATAAGCGAGCATGCTACTTTATAAACTCGGGTGTTTGTTTCTGTCTGGCACCCCAGTGCTACCACCAGCATATGACTTTTTATGTTACTTTCTTCACTTAGGGATCATTAATCATGTGGACAGTGTAAATATGAAACCTAAACCTCTGCTACAAATCCTGAAGAGGAACTCTCCCTAACCTTCCACACATACCTGAGGGCCAGGCCAGAACATAAACTTATATCTCCCTGGACAGTGATTAGAATTTTTTTAACTTTACGCTTTCACTGAAGATAGGCCCATGAAGAGGGGTCCTGACTTCATTTGGGATTCTTGCTTGCAACACACTGTGCTTTCCATTTCAAACAGTGGCTTGATACCCATTAAAACCAAATATGTAATTTGCCCTGACTGGTGTAGCTCAGTGGGGTGGGCGTCATCCTGCAAACCAAAAGGTTGTGTTTACTTCCCTGTCAGGGCACCTGCCTAGGTTGTGGGCCAGATCCCCAGCTGGGGGTGTGCAAGAGGCAACTGATTAATGTTTCTCTTGCACATTGATGTTTTTCTCCCTTTCTTTCTCCCTCCTTTCTCCTCTCTAAAATAAACAAATGAAGTCTTAAAAAAAAAACAACACCCAAGTATATTAGCTGAGACCGTCAAACTCTCTCACTTCCCTCTGCACCCCCCAGATTAGGGCTGCAGCCACGCACCTCACATGCACTGCCTGGTTTGCGGTTCTCCCTTCCTCTTGGGGCCCTTGGACATTTACTTCATTCTCATGAAAGCTTGGTTATGCATGTAGACGGTGTTTATTTTATTTAGCATTTATAGGTTGGTTGGTTTGTTTTATAGTGGAATAATTTGCCAGAAACAAAAGACTCAAGAGACACTTTGTACTTACCTCTCCCTTCCTTCTCTTCCATACTAATGCTTAGGAGTGAGGTCTTATGATTACCCATGGAGACAGGTCCTAGGGCCTGAAACAATAGCTCTTTCTCTACCTCCAAATGTCTCTCTAAGGGAAAGCTGTGTTCCAGAAGTTTGGTTGGGCACATGTACGTTATTGGTTTTCTATACATTTGATTTTCCTTTTTATCTTTGTTTATTAACAGGTCAAGAACCCACCTTGAAGACTATATTAAATAAAATAGGAGATGAAATCATGGTAGTAAATGAACTTTTAAATAAACTGGAATTAGAAATTCAGTATCAAGAACAAACTACTAATACTCTTAAGGTAATGTTTTCTCAGCAAAGGAACAAAATAAAAAGGCAATAAATACAAACTGCCTAATCAGCAGGAATTCTTAAGGGTTCTATAAGTTTATAATGTTTTTCACTTTATAAATTATTTTTAATGGTATAGTGTGTTATTTGCACTTTATTTTCCCAGTATAAAGGACTCCAGAGCCCACAGGTATTCCTTTTTTCATGGTGGTAGCCAATGGAATTTAACTTGACTGAAAAGGAAGATTTCATAAATCTTGGTGGGTTTCATTTAAACACATGATGTCCTGGCTGGCTGGTGCGGAAGGAATAGCTGCCCTGGGGTGAGATCCAGATGCTCACCCTGGCTGCCCTTAGTCCCCTCTGCCACCCTGAGAAAGCCGTTTTACCTCCTGGAACCTCTGGGTCCTCATTTGGAAAATAATGGAAGTATGTGTGTACTTCCTGATGGTAAAATACTTCTTCTGGATCATAATTACCTCATGCTCGTAGAGCCATTGACATGTTCAATGGGACTGAACAAAGTGCTTCTACAGTCCCTTTCAACTTCATAATCCTTGAGGTCTGTAAAGATTTTTCAGCTGTAGGAGTGGACATGATTATGCCTATCGTACTATTAGCTGAAATAAAATTAGTATCTGTGAACATCATTTAGCTCTTTAAAACAAAGATGCCCTATAAATTTAAAGCAGAAACCCATATTGCTTTCAATTCTAACCAGCCCCAAAATGCTCAGGGTTAGGTGCAGGCCCAGAAAATGTTCAACTCAGAATTGAAGGCTATTTGGAATTTTTGCTAACATTATGATTGAGAATCCCAAGGCAGGAATCCAAAGTTGCAGAGTATTTTTCCTATTAAACTTGCATGAGTTCATTGCCTCAAGTCCTGGAGACAGTTAAACAGAAACAACTGAAAACAAGAACAAGCCATTATGTAGCCGTTATAATCAAATAGAGGTTTTCATTATGCTGGAATGCACACATGTCCACAGTGGAAGTCATTCTAGGCGGCCTCATCCTTGCATTCCAGGCTTGCATTATTACTCTGGTGCTCTCAGAGTAATTCTGGGGGATGTTTACTAAGTCAACAAAAGCAATTTACCAGACTGGCAAGCATACTACACCTTTCATACTTTTTCTAGTTGCTTCTCAAGGTTAAAGTATTTTAAAAATCTCAACCTGCCTGTTGTAATGTGATTATAATGATTACTCTGAAAAAAAATCTGGAGCCTTGACCGGTGTGGCTCGGTTGGGTGTTGTCCCACAAAGCGAAAGGTTGCCGGTTTGATTCCCAGTCAGGGCACACACTTGGGTTGCAGGTTTGGTCCCTGGTTGGGGCGCATGCAAGAGACAACCAGTCGATGTTTCTCACCCTCTCTTCCTTCCCCTTTCTAAGAATAAATAAATAAAATCCTTTAAAAAAACCTCTAGAGAGAAATATTATATCACCATCCAATAACAGCTCTAGAAACCAAGGGGCCCTTTTTAAAATATTGCTTCATTCAGTGCCTTTTCACCGCTTCTGCGTTCTGAACACTTGCATGATTGTGTGTCACGGAATTTCATGTTCTCTATAACATCTTGATGCACACACAGGCAGAACAGATGCTTATTTGTGAGCATTTTTTTAATTTTAGGAACTCTGTCAGTCTCTTGAAGAAGATTATAAAGACGTGAAACATCTCAAAGAGAACATTCCTCCCCATTTGCCTCAAGTAACAGTAACCCAGGACTTGTAAGTGTATTTTTAATTATTCTTGCCATTTGGGTTTATAAAACTATTAAACACCTCACTTCGCTTTTTTGAGTACTTGCAATTTTGTTAGTGATTATCTGGAGGTTTTTTGTCTTGTTTTGTTACTTACACCACAAGTGATGTTTCCCGTGTCTTTGCCAGTGTTCTTATCCTGCTGTCTCTGAGAGAAGTGTCGCCCCTCTTTCCCAAGGGCGAGTCTCTCCTCTGGGATCTCTTTTTCTGCTTTTTCACATTTTCTTCCCTTAGAGCAGAGTTTGTCATTCTAGGCCAGATAATTCTTTGTTGTGAGAATAGGGGTTTAGTTACATCTCTCACTCTACCAACAAGCTATCAATAGCACCCCGAATCCCCTCCACACCCCCAGCCCCTCCCAGTGGTGACCATGAAAAATGTCTCCAGGCGTTACCATGTCCTCTTGGGGGACAAAGCTCCCCTGACCTTGAGAACCACTACCTTGGGGTAAAAATAACCTTAATGAGCTTCCCGTCTTAAAAACAGCCAAAGTGCCCTGGCTGGTGTGGCTCAGTGGATTGAGTGCTGCCAGCCTGCGAACTGAAGGGCTGCCGGTTTGATTCCCGGTCAAGGCACATGCCTGGGTTGGTGCCAGGTCCCCATTTCTTGACATGCGAGAGGCAGCTGATTCATGTTTCTCTCCGTCTCTTTCTCCCTCCCTTCCCCGCTCTCTGGAAAAAAATAAAGTCTTTTAAAAAATCCTTAAAAAAAAAAATAAAAAGTAACTACAAATAGCCAAAGGAACCAAAGAAACAAAAGAAAACCCTTAGCTCTGCTTCCCCCTCAAATTACTGTGCTACCTCTGCCTGTTCAGCCAACGTACGTTTGTACCTCCCCCAGAGCATCTAGAACCTGGCCTCTGGCTGTTCTAACTCCCACACTTAGGAAACTGTTCGCGGAAGGTTATAAAGAGGTCAGAAATGCCTCCTCAGCCCTGAATCTTCCTTTCAGGTTTTACTTTGTTGTCCATCTTCTTGGCTTTTGAAGTTCTGTTACCTGCACAACTGCTGTGGTTTCTCCTTTGTCATCTCTCATCTCTGACTTGGCTGCCTCCTTCGGCTCAGAGCTCCTTTAAGTTACAAGTGTCTCCGAAAGCTCTGTTTTACTCACTCTTACCCAGCACCACCGTTAATGCTCTCGCGCATCCAACTGCAGCCTTGACAGGACATCTAGTTCTGCTGTTCTGCTGGCGTCCCGATGGATGAGCTGTTCTCTCCAGCTTTGCGTGTCTGAGACTGAACCCACTGGTTCCTTGCTGCCCGCCCACCTGTGCCTGTGGCTCTTGTCCTCCTGTCACCTAGACAGGAAGTTGGCGTCTTCAAACTGAATTGCTCTCTCATCACCCTCAGTTGTCCATTCTGCCTCTGCGGGGTTTTGTCTGTCCCTTCCCTCACTTCTGTTCTCATCACCTGGCTCTGAAGGAGATCTTTTATCATCTTTTGTCTTTATGATTTGGGAGTGCCTGTGATTTGTCTTTCTCTTATTTCTCTACTCTCATCTCTCAGTCCTTTGCCACCAAAATTATATTTCTAAAAAGTAAGAAATTACATGCTACAAGCATGTAAAAATAGTCCGTGGCCTAACTTAAAATTTCTTAACTTTTAAAGTACAGGGTCTGGTGCAAATAACACCTCTTTTTTTATTACAAAAGCATAAACATGTAATTCTGTAACAACAATATCACACTCAAGCACACCATATGATGTTTTAGGTGAAATGTTCAAATTAAAACTATAAATTACTAGACCCATATTATTTCCCCACCAACCACACTCAAGCAGGCGTTAACTTCTGCTGGACCATTTATATCATATATACAGAAAAGGATTAAAGTATTATTTGTGCAAATCAAAGAATAATAAACATCAGTGTATCTGCCAGTCGGATTAAGAAATAGGACACCACCTGTACTTGAAACACTTCTATTGCAGACCTTCCCTCTGTCAGAGGTAATCATGCTGGCATTTATGGTAATCACACTTTTGCATATGTTTCCATAAATACTGCTTAAATTTTAAAAACTGAGAGGAAGGCATGGACCTTACTGCATAGGAAAAGAGCCCTATTCTTGCTGATAGTTGAAGGCATCCAGAAGTTAGCTCAACAGAGTCCCTGGCATGTTAGGGTACCTCAGACTTCCCTGCAAGAAGAGAAAATTAGCGGGCAAGGTCATGAGCGAATGCTAGAAACCAAGATCATAATACGATATCTGCCAAGGTTAGTGTGGGCTGGACATTGGATGTGTGGCAGGAACATGGCCTAGGGAGTAGGAATTTTCCCCTAAACTCACAATGGCCTGGTTCTAGTTTTTGGGCTAGGTCAAAGCAGAACTTTCTGTAGCCAGAAGTGATTATTTCCAGCACTTCTGATCATTTTCAACACAGTAGGGCATGAAGGAGAAATCAAGAGTGTCCTTAGCACCTGGTCAAAGCAGGCAAGTACCAATCAGGCTCACCGTGGAGTCTCATGTTAGGAGGCAGGCCAGGATCATGGTACCGTAGCATTAGGCATCTTCATCCTGACAACCTCCAGCCTGGCCACCCCCTCAGTCAGGCCCCATTGCCCGCAGCTGTCCTCTCAGGATCTTGCCTCCCTGTCTTCCTTGCAGCCCACTTCTCCTGGGTTGGATCTGCTCTTCCTGTATCCCCTTTCTTTTTTGGAACAGTAAAGCCAGTGTGGCTTGACTTGCTACTGGCAACAGGGGGATTTCCTTCCTAGGCCGTTAACCCAGAAGCTACCGTCTATTTCTAGACTTCCAGCTAGTGGGGTAGGAGCTAAATTAGGTTTCTCACTGACTCCAAAAACTGGGTAGGACTGAATTAAGGGTGACCCATGTTTATTGCTGGCAACTCCAATGACTCTAGCAGAAAGAGCCTGATGCTAGCAACCAACGGGATGAATTAGAAAGATGGAAGTATAAGATGACTGACTTCACACATATGGACTTCGAGGGACCGGTGGGATAACTGGTGAAGATGTGTAGCCTATGTGCTTCGTGTTTCATTTGGGGGTATGTAAATACAATTATACTACTGAAGTTTTGGAGGCCTAAATTTTCCTTGTTCTTACTATTCAGCTCTTCATGAAAATAGGGGTAGAGATTAAAAAGATGTTGGCTTAATGAGGCAAAGCATGTGTTTGACAGTGAGTATTTTCAGTTGGGAAAACTTTCTAGTGTGCTGCACAGTTCTGATGATTTTACCTGTATGTGCATCTCTATTCTGTAGTGATAATGTATCAGATCTTGACCTTGAAGAACCTGTCAAAGGTGAAGAACCTGTCAAAGGTGAGGAACCTGTCAAAGTTGAGGGACCTGGAGCCACAAAGAAGAAGCCCCCTAAAGAGCAAAGAAATATTAAAGAAATGCCATTTATAACTTCTGAGGAGTTTAATGGCATTCCTGCGTAAGTATTTTAAGTTTTAACGTTCAACTCATTAGTAATCAACATAGACGACTGTTTAAATCACAAAGCTTGATTATATTCATAATATGTTGTGTTCAAACATTAATCTCTTCTAAAATAGTTTTACATTGTACCATGAAAACACAGGAAATCTTCTGTTGAAGATGCTTAAAATCCTGTTTTTTTGTTCAGTACCGAAGCCCCTTTTCATAGAGAGATCTGGAGCCGGGTCAGTTTACTGCCGCGTCCTTTCCAGGGCCGCTTTGTGACAGGTTCCTCTGTTACCTTTTAGAGTGGCCTCTGTGTTGCTGTAATTTTACAGAAAGAGTGGGGTATCAATTTGAGATCAGAATGGAGGATGTTGTGTTTGTTCTTGCCTCTGTCCCTTCACTTAGGCCACACGTGTGTTCACGTCTGTGCTCTGTCCTGGGCCTGGGTCACCAAGGAGAACAAAGGGGGCGGAAGCAGCCCAAGACACCTCCCCCGGAGGCAGGTCTCCTTTGCTCTTTACAGGGGATGAACCAATTATGGAAATCGACGTTTTTAAACTCTCCTAATTCCAGGGCTTTGCTTCACTTCTTGGTTTTGTATTGTTACCATTTTCATTACTTCTTTATAATCCATGTTGTTAGAAAACATTTGTTGTCAGAAAATAACTCATCTGTAATTCTGCCACTCAGATAAGATAGAATATTTCCTTCTAGATTTTACGGAATTTCACATGTATAATTGGTTGTTGCTGATTGTTGCAACAATTTAATTATACTATAAATACAATTTTCTTTTTTTAATCATGAGCATTTTCCCATCCTCAACTATTATTGTAAATCTGGATTTTAATAGTTGTATAATATTTTCTTTTTTAAATTCTATCTTTTTTTTAAATTTTTTTAAGATTTTATTTATTTTTAGAGAGGAGAAGGGAGGGAGAAAGAGAGGGAGAGAAACATCAATGTGTGATTGCATCTTGCATGCCCCCTGCTGGAGACCTGGCCTGCAACCCAGGCATGTGCCCTACACTGGGATCAAACCTGGGGCCCTTTGCTTTGCAGGCTGGCACTCAATCCACTGAGCCATACCAGCCAGGGCTAATAATTGTATACTATTTTCTCATGTGGCTACCTGTAAGTAATTATTTCAGCATTCCCTTATTAAATATTTGGGTTGATTTCATTCTTAGGAATAATGGTACTGTGAAATTTCTTTTAGGCAAGGCTACCTTGTAATTCCTCATCTTCTTGCAATAGAGGCCCAATCCCTGGGACAAGGAAAATCCCTGGGACAAGGGATGTGATCATTTTACATTCCTCAGAGCTGTCTCTACCAGTTTTTGTTGTTTGTTTTTTAATTAATGAACTTTGTTAGAGCAGTTTTAGGTTTACCGAAAAATCCAGCAGACAACACAGGGTGTTCTTAGACCTGAAAACAGTTTCATCTATTACTAGCGTCTTGCGTTACTGGGGTGCATTTGTTAGAATTGGTAAACCAGTGTAGGTACATCATTAACTAGAGAACATAGTTTACAGTAGAGTTCGTTTTTGCTGTTGTACATTCTGTGGGTTTCGACAAATGCATGATGGCATGTGTCCACCACTACAGTCTCACACCGAGCGGTTTCACTGACCTAGCAGTGCCCTGTGTTTCTCCCGTTCATCTCTTCCCCTGAGCTCCAGGAAACCGCTAATCTTTTTTCTGTCTCTATAGCTTTGCTTTTTCCAGATGGCATATAGGTGGAATCATACACTCTGTAGCCTTTTCAGATTGGCTTCTTTTCCTTTTACTTGGTAATATGAATCTAAGACTCGCCCTTTGTCTTTTTTTTTTTTTTCTAACTCTTTGATTTTAGTTTAATCTCCCAGTGGCCATTACAACTAAGAAAAAAATAAATGGGCTAATTTTCAATTTCCATGGGTAGCAACACAATTTGAGAACTCATTTTACTTAAGGATATGAAATCATTTTACTACTCTGAAAACCTCCTCCCCAACCTTAAGACTTTTTTAAAATTAAATTTATTGGGGTGACATTGGTTAATAAGATTATATAGGTTTCAAGCATACAGTTCTATGCTATGTCATTTGCATACTGCACTGTGTGCCTGCCACCCAAAGTCAAATCTTCTGTCACCAAATATTTGACCCCCTTGTCTTTTTGTGGGTTGATAGTTCATTTCTTTTTATTGTTTGTGTTTACCACAGTTTGTTTATCCATTCACCTGCTGAAGGACATCTTGATTATTCCAGTTTGGGGCAATTATGAACAAAGCATCTATAAACATCCATGTGCAGGTTTTTGTGTGGACATACATTTTCAAATCATTTGGGTAAATACCTAACAGTGAGGTTGCTAGATCCTGCGGTAAGGGTCTGTTTAGCTTTGTAAGAAGATGCCAAACTGTCTTCCAACATTATTGTGCCGTTTTGTACTCCCGCCAGCAATGAATGAGAGTTCGCATTGTTTAACATCCTCACTGGCATTTAATTTTGTCATTTTTTTCTATTTTAGCCATTCTAATAGGTTTGTAGTGGTATCTCGTTTTAATTTTCAGTTTTGGAATGACATATGATGTTGAACAGCTTTTCATGTGCTTGTTAGCCACTTGAAAAAATACCTGGGTGTTTGGTAATTCTGGAACTAGTAAGGAGGCTGACATTTCTTTTTAACCTTTTTTTTAGGGGGTCAGTCAGTCTTTTCCTTCATTGACAGCAGTGTTTTCATGAAAGTTCTGTTTGATTCTATTTTTTTTTAAATTGTTATTATTATTGTTCATTGGCTGAACTACAGGGAAGAGCAAATGTCTGTGAGGAACTGTGGCGTAGAAAGGTTTTTAGAAAATGTTTTCATGAAGAGCTAAAGAAGGAAATTAAATAGTCATGGTAGAGTATTAATTTTTTTTTTCTAAGTCCTCACTGGAGGATACATTCATTGACTTGAGAAAGAGAAACACTCATGAGAGAGACATTGATCCATTGCCTCCCACATGCACCTGAATGGGGTTCGAACCTCAGCCTTTTGGTGTGTGGGACAATGCGCCGAATAACGGGGCCCTCCAGCCAGGGCTAGAGTATTGATTTTTAAACTAAGGCATTATTTAGGGAATAAGAGAAATTAGAAGACTAGGATAAGAAAGAATGTAGCCCAAACATGGGACATTCATTTATTTAAGAAATTACTATTGAGAATGGACATACAGTGGAAAATATTGGCAGAGGTGGGGGATGGGCATTGGGGAAGCTCAGGTGACATAGTTCAGAAGATTGAAAGGAACTGCGACGGGGAGAGCTGTGGTAGCCACGGTTTGTGGAAATTATGGTTAGAAAAAATAGCCACAAAAATGAATTTAGAAAAGAAGGGAATAATGAAAATGAATGGTTTCTGGTCAGTGTGAACATTTTTCTTTAAACATATTTCTATGTTCTGTTACATGAAGGAAGTTTTGTTTAGAAAACTTCCCCTTGGAATAGAGGTGAAGGGCAGGGTTTAACATTGAACTCCTAGTTTGTTGACGGGGACTGTTGAGGCGGGTCACTAGGATCTGTTTTTGCGATGTGCAAAGCATTGAAAGTTGCGAGCGTCCTGTTTGCACAGGCTGAGACTCTGGGGCAACTGGGAGTCCGGGCTGGAAAGCGGGATGTAGCCTGAAGACGCGGCGCTCCTCGGGAACTGGAGCCGGGGCGTGGACCGGGTGCGGCTCCGCGCCGGTCCTCTGCCTTCGCGGGCTCCCCTCGGAGCTCTCCGCGCACTCTCGTTTCGCCTGTGTCTGCGTTGGCATTGCCGTCTTTGTGATGGTCTTCTGTTACCCTTGACTTTCTCCTCCTCCTCCTTTTGTCTTTCTCTGAACACATAAGTTTTTGCAGAAAACTAGAGTAGTATAAGCTATATAATTCATTAACATTTAAATCTGTCAGTCCCTTGCTCACAAACATATAAAAATGTTTAAATAAACATCTGGCTTGCAGTTAATCAGTTCATTAATTCTGTAAGTGGAGAATAGAGATTAGTGCATCCAGATATAACTCGGGAAGATAAGCACTAATATGTTGTGGTCTCTCTGTAAGTTTTTAACTATTGAGACATGTCTGGTTTATTTGAAAGTCGATTTAACATTTTTTTAATAAGGAATACTAATAGCTTTGTAACTATATGAAGTCATTATAAATATTTTTCAATGAAAATCTTTTGTATCATGAGTCTTCAAAAACATTAATCATATACTTACTTATAGGTACATGAAATCCCGCTTAACCTATTGTCAAATTAATGATGTTATTAAAGAAATCAACAAGGCAGTAATTAGTAAATATAAGATTCTACATCAACCAAAAAAGTCCACTATGAGTTCTGTGGCCAGAAATCTCTATCACAGATTCCTTGATGAAGAAACAAAGGATACCAAAGGTAAAATGATAGCATATGTATATGTGTATGTCAACTGTTTGGAGTGTAAATAAATCATGAGAAACAAAACTAATTCTAGAAAATTGTAAATTTAGAATGGCAGCTCTCAACCAAGAGCGATTTTCCCACCAGGGAACATTTGGCCATCTCTGGAGACATTTTTGGTTGTTACGGCTGGGGTTGGGTTGGCGTCTTGTGGCCAGAGACCAAAGATGCTGCTGAAGTACCCTACGATGTACAAGACAGCCCCCACACAAAAGAATGATCTAACCCAAAATGTCTAGTGCTGAGCCTGAGAGTTATGGAAGTATAAGCAATGTTTCCAGGATTAGAATAGTAATGATAACAGCTGGTCACTCTTACCTCGTACTTACTGTGTGCCAGGTGGTGTACTAAGAGCTTTAGTCCTCCTAACATCCTTGGGAGGTACGACCTATCCCTAACCCCATTTTGTAGACTATACAAAGAGAGCTTAAGTTACTCGACCAACGTCAGCCAGGTAAGCCAGGTAAGCGATAGAGCTGCTGAGGGTTACATTCTATTGTCCCCTATCCCGTATTAACTCTTGAAAAGGCAATTCTTCAGAAGATACCAGTGGTAGCTAGTGATATAATAAGTAAGGCTACATTACTGAAATGCTACAGTGAACATTATGCAACTTCAAAGAAAAATTACTGTTGATATTTTAGTAAGAATACCATTTGTCAATTTGGTTGGATAATGGTAGTAAAAATGACTAATGCCATTCATAGTCACTATGTAATGCATTAAAGACTCACCTGGAAAGTTGTCCTTATAAAAATTAGCATTACCAATAAAAATTTTTAAAAAAAGGATCATGCATTGAAGATAATACTAGCAAAGAAGATATAAGAGAACAACAAGAAAATGGTAGCGTGAACAGTTCTGCAATTCCTAGTGTGCACGCCACCCCAGCCACATGAGATGAAAGCATCAATGATCTAATGAGATCAGGTCAGAAATCAATAAATTTGAAATCATCAGAAAAAATTTGCACTAATATCTTTCTCTTTATTTTCAGGTCATTATTTTATAGTGGAAGCTGACATTAAGGAGTTCACGGCTCTGAAAGTTGACAAGAGGTTTCACGTGATACTGAATATCTTACGACACTGCCGCAGGCTGTCAGAGGTTCGAGGGGGAGGACTCACCCGATACGTTATAACCTGAGGCCCTCGTGACCTTTTCAACCAGCCAGCAGTAGTGCATAGAGGCTATTCCTATAGTTTCCTTATATGTAATTTTTTATGTATATCTTTTCTTGTCTGTTATAAAAATAAAACTTTTAAAATAAAGCATGCATATTCTAAAATAAACTTCCTTTCAGCAATATTTAACCACCTACCCTGTGAGTCTCTGTTAGGCAGATAATGGAAGTGGAAAAAAAATGTTTATGTCTGTTTTTTGTGTTGTGACAATGCTACAGACCCCAGTACAATGAATGCAGATGTGCTCGTGGAAGAAAAAGGTCTAGGAGATGAGGTCAAGGATACTCAGGTTCTCTGGAATTGAAAGTCATTAAACGTCTGAATTCCATCAATGGCTTTTCAGTCCAAAGGCAAAGTTGGGTCTGGAGGCAGCCGACCCATGTGATTATCTTGCTTTCCCTTACGTTGTTTTTGAAATTGTAATAAAAGTACATTGAGATGAAAAAGATGATAAAATAACGTGTCAGCAGGTCTTGAAAAATGGGTGGTTGGATTGTAAAATTTAGCTGTGTTTCTCTCCTGCACTTGGGTGACTGTCTTGTGTATGTTTTAGTCAATGTCCAGAGAAACGGAGCTAACAGGAAAAGCGGTGGTATAATTCCACCTGAGTTTGAAGGACTGAGGACCAGCGGAGGCAGGCCAGAGAAGACGAGATGCAATGTTGCAGCTCGAACAGTGAGGCAGGAAAAAAAGGCAAATCCCTCCTTTCTCCACCTTCTGTTCAGGTCCTGGATGGCTTGGGTGGTGCCCGCTGGACCGGGGAGGGCAATCGCTTTACTGAGGCCACTGATTCAAATACCAGTCTCACCTGGAAACACCTTCACAGACATGCCCAGCAATGATGTTTAGGGGGAGGGAGGCAGGGGAAAGTGGTGGTGGGAAAATGGAGACAAATGTATTTGAACAATAATAAATAAATGTTTAATTTGGGCACTGCATGGCCTGTCAAGTTGACACATAAAGTTAATTGTCACCATCTATGTCTGCATCTGCTGGGCAGGCTGATCCTTTGTAGCAGAGAAAAACTGTCATCAGATACTGTGAGCTGTGCTTAGCTGCATGCTAAAAACTAGTCCCTAATTGCAACTCAGAAATCAAATTATTTCTTGGGAATACTGTCTTGAACTTTAAAAAGTAACTCAGCAACATAGTGTATGAAAAAATCTTACGCCTCTGAAACCTAGACCTACCTCTGCCATTTACTCCCTCTTGGTTCTTCAAAATGTAATTCCTTCTCACAAGCTCCATGTCTACCACCCTGGTCCCTAACCCTATCATCTCTCCCTGGATTAATTCATAGCTTCTTAACTGGTCTGTTTGTTTTTGCCCCAGCTCCTCCCCACCCCCAATCTTTACATGGACCAGTTATGTAAACATGGTAGGGCACTCCACCCCCATTTCTCACCGAGTAAAAGCTGAGGGCCGCAAGGCCCTTCAGGTGTCTTTTCAACTTGGTGATAACATCTTCTGTTTCCCAGCTCTGCTCCAGCCACTCCAGCCTCCATGCTGTTTCTGGAACAGGCCAAGTGGGAGTCTCCCTCAGACGCTGTGCTGGCTGTTGTTTCTGCCCAGGAAGCTCATCCTTTATTCACATGACCCCCTCTCCCCCACGCACATCCTGTAGAGCTGCTCAAATGCCATTTGATGGAGGCCTTCTCAGACCTCCTTATGTTTAAAATGACAGTTTCCTTCTGCAACACCTCCTCCCTCCTGCTTCATTTGCCTTCAGAGCACATTTGAGTCTGATGGTTTATATATTTTACCTATTTATTTGTCTTTTTTCCCCCTTCTAGAGTGTAAACTCCCAAGGTAAGCAGTTTTTTTCCCCTTTTCACTACCTGCTGTGTCCCCAGCCAGTCTAAGAGAGTTTTCCAGTAGAGGGCGCTAAATAAATATTTATTGATTGCACGCTAACTGAAACAGGTTGTGCCCTGGGGTGACTGCTTCACCTTTCCATGCCTCGGTTTCTTTCTGTTTATATTGATGAGATAGTTGAACAGAAATTTTCCTCAAGACCCTCTAGTTTTAATAATCTATGATTCTAATATGCCCAATTTCTTCTGGGAAACCTACTCATATTGAAATTAAAGGATATTCTGCCTGGCGGGGTTATAAAAAATTGCAAAGAGATACTCTGATAATCACAAAAAGATATTCTGGAAATCACATTTTTTTCATAAAGTTTATTTGAGCCAAACTGATAACATATGCCGAGGCAAGATTTCACATGCTTTGGAAATCTAAACTTTTAAGCAAAGAATGTGTATTCAATTTTGGGAATGCTGAATAAGTTATTAGCTAAGTAATTACATGAAACTTTCATTGAGTAAGAACCATTTACAAAATTCTTTCAGCCAACATCTTTTTTTAAAATGTACAATTCTTTTTTTAAAATATTTTATTTATTTATTTTCAGAGAGAGGAGAAAGGAGGGAGAAAGAGAGGGAGAGAAACATCAATAAGTTGCCTCTTATACACCCCCAACTGGGGACCTGGCCCAAAACCCAGGCGTGTGCCCTGATGGGGAATGAACTGGAAACCTTTCGGTTTGCAGGCTGGTGCTCAATCCACTGAGCCACATCAGCCAGGGCTCAGCCAACATCTTTAGTTTTCTAATTCATTTTGCTTAGGTATAGTGTCAAGTCGCACAATGTGTAAGTGCTATAATCAAGCAAATGGAATTACTGTGGTGCATTGAATAGAACTTTGTGTGGTAGGATGCAGTTTTGCTTCATAATATTAAGTGATCGCTTTATGAAACATTCCATCTCCTAATAACCCATTACCATTGTTCCATAATTGTATCTAATTATACAAGTGGCAAAAAAAGAAGGGTTACTCCATATATTATTAAGGAATCTACCTGGGTATATTTCAAACAATGTTACTCAAATTGGAGCCAAGAGTATATATGATTAAAAAGCAGTAATAATTTAATACAAATTGAACTCTATTAAAGTTAGGTTGACTCTAGATAGTCTCTAACAAGCATACAAAAGAAGTATTTATGAGAAATTATGGTATAACATGCAAAATTTTACCTCAAATTCTTATGATTACTCTTCCCCTGGTTTATTGAAAAGCAGTAAATTAGTGGGTAAAAGGCTACATCTTTTTTTAAAAAAATTGAGATTAAATTTACACCCATGTAATTCACACCCCTATCATTTTTTTTTCTTAAACTTTCAATTTTGAAATAACTATCGGTTCACATGTAGTTGTAATAAATAATGCAGATCCCTGACCAGTGTGGCACAGTTGGTTGGGTGCCCCTCCACAAAGCGAAAGGTCGTGTGGTTCTATTTCCTGGTCAGGGCATGTGCCTGGGTGGCAGGCTGGTCACCGGTTCGGGCGTGTGTGAGAAGCAACCAATCGATGTTTCTCTCCCTCTCTTTCTCCCTCCCTTCCCCCTCTTTCTAAAAATAAATACAATAAAATCTTTTTAAAAAAGAAATAATGCAGAAAGAGCCCTTGTACCCTTTATTCTTTGCCTCAGTATCACACCCAGAATGTTGACATCGACGCAGTTAAGATACAGAACATTCCCATCACCACAAAGAACCCTCAGGTCACCCCCTCGCACTCACACCCACTTCCCTCCCACCTCCACGCCCTCCTGAGCCCCTGACAGCCGCTCATCTGTTCTCCAGTTCTGTGATTTTGTCATTTCAAGAATGTTATGTAAATGGAATGGTACAGTATGAAACTTTCTGAGATTAGCTTTTTTTCTCTCAGCATAATTCTCTGGAGATTTATCCCGGTCATTGCACATGTCAGCAGCTTCATTGTTGAGTAGTATTCCGTCGTGTGTGGATGGTATGGCTGTACAATAGGTAGTTTAATCATTCCACCCGTTGAAGTGCATCTGTGTGGTTTCCAGTTTGTGACTGTCAGAAATTAAGCTGCTCTAAACATCTGAGTACAGGCTTTCACGTGGATGTGACTCTTCATGTTTTGGGGAATGCAGTTCTCAGAAGCGCAATTGCTGGAGTAGTTGCATGTTTGGTTCTTTGTTTTAAACTGCCAAACCATTTTACATTCCCCTCCAAGCACTGCTTTCCCTGAGTCCCACAAATTTGGACAAGTTGGATTTTCATTTTTCTTCCTTAAAAATAGTTTAATATCTCTCTTGAGACTCCTATTTTACCCATGTAATGCTTACAAGTATGTTGTTTAACCTCCACATATTTTGGGATTTCCCAGCTATCTTTCTTTTATTAATTTTTAGTTTAAGTTCATGTTGTTAGAAAGCATACTTTGTATGATTTCGATTTTATATTTGCTACGGTGTGATTTTCAACCTAGGACGTGGTCTATCGTGGTGAATATTCCACGTGAACTTGAGAAGAATGTATTCTGTTGTTGCTAGATGAGATATCCTACAAATAACAATTAAATCCAATCGACTGATGGTGCTGTTTGGCTCAACTACGTCCGTACTGATTTTATACCTGCTGCGTCTGTCAATTGTTGATAGAGGGGTTACACTGTCCAACTACGCAGTCTCTTTGTCTGTTTCTCCTTGCAGTTCCATCAGTTTCTGCCTCGTGTATTTTGATGCTCTGTTGTTAGGCACATGCACATTAAGGATTGTTACGTCTTCTTGGAGAATGGACCTTTTAATCATTAGTATCCTACTTTATTCTTGATATTCTTCCTTGTTCTGAAGTTAGCTTTGTCTGAAATTAATGTAGCTAGTCCAGATTTGTTTTGGTTAGTATTAGCAAGGTATACCTTTCTCTTTACTTTACTTTTAATTTACCTGTGCCTTTATATTTAAAATGGTTTTCTTGTAGACATGATATAGTTGGGTCTTTTTTTTTTAAATCTACTCTCTCGGTCTCTGCCTTTTAATTGGTATATTTAGATAATTCACATTTGAAGTAATTATTGATATTTTTGGATTAATATCTGCTGTATTTGTTACTGTTTTCTATTTGCTGCATTTGTTTTTCATTTCTTGTTTTCTTTAAATCTCTCCTTTTCTGATTTCTCTAGTTT